TCATTTTTGTACGTTCCTTCTCTCCCTAGTTTATGACATGATCTCCTTTAAGAGTTTAGTACCAGATTCTAACCTAGCATTCTTCCCCGATGCATATGTTGAGCTAGTAACTCGAGCTACGGCGATGGTATTTGACTTTAAGAAGAGTAACGATTAGTTTACAATTTTACCATTAATTAAAGACTTCTTAGTCTGGTATTCCTGCATATGCAAAGATTGTTCCACATGTCTAATAAATTATACACAGCTTATATAAAAATCTTACCGGATTGAATAATTGCTCATAAATTTTAAAAGTATTATTCTAACGTTCTCCGTGTTTTGATCCATTTCTTTGATGAGATGCACAACTAACAGTTAAATGAACTTGCAAACCACACGCACAACTTCCTCAAGAATATGTGCATGTTGCCTCCCATGTACATTGTGAAAGTATATTCTGCATACTGGCAAATCACCAAGTCAATCTCATGGGCAAATCACATTTCGATACGTGGGCATTTTTTTTTTCTCTTTCTTTTTTGGTGCTTTTGATGACTTTGTATGTGTCAAGAAAACTTTGCTTTTGTAAAGAGGCATGTGGCAACAACTGATGAACAAAGAAATTCAACCCTTAATACAGCCTAGCATTGTAGAAAAATTTGTACGAAACAGGGATAGCACTGTTTCTTTATACTCAACCATCACAGATTGTTACGTAGGAAAATTATCAAGCATGACATGTCGCGATTGACTGAAAATAATAAAATAGTGTTATTCCCATTTTACACAAATGTTTCTCCTAGCATTGAGCTCATATGTACAACCCTTAAAGCACCTCCAGCTTAAAGTCATAACACCCACAACACAAAAAAAGGAAAAGATAAAGGGGGGAAAAAGTAAAGTAATTTTTATTAAAAGAGGCTCTCTCTTTCAATTTGCCTTTGGAGAAAGCATGATGCAGCTACTCATTCTAAGGACATGCACCCAAGCCATGTTCTTGAATATAAAAACTGGGTTGTCAGATTTAATCATTAAATAAATAATAATTGGGGCAGATTTTGTGGGTTTTGCTGAATGGATTCACAAAGTATCTTCTTCTACAGTTGCAACTTTACTACCAGAAAGTCGTACTTGATAAAACAGAATCAACAAACGCACACTCTTTTTATAATAAATTTTAAGGGGCACCTTTAGCTGGGAAATGCATCGTGCTTGCCTTTAATTATTTTTTGTCTTTTGAGAGAGCCTTTAATTATTTATTCATCTTAGTAATTTGTATTAAACCCTTTTCATTTTTTTAGTACAAACGATTGGAGAACGAGGGTTTACACACAAATATTCATTGGGTGTTTGGCAGTTTCGAAATTTTGCCCAAATGAGTGGAGATTGAAGAACTCAACCAACTATGCAAGCACTCCACGTTACAAATGAGAAGAAGTTATAGTCTTAATTAAAAAAGCCGACTTTTTATAGAATTTTTATATGATTATATTTTTGTTTGTTTAGATTAATTCTGTATAGTTGGTCAAAGAATGCTAAAAAAAGCTTAAGAAAATCTTCTTTTTAGAGCACCTAGCTAACTCTTCGTTTGTTCGATGCGTTGTGTTTAAGCTTTATAATATTACAAAGATGTGATTTTGTAATGGGTTAGTCCTAATTAACTTCTCAGTTACCGATAATCAAGGATGTTTAAATAATAATAAAAATGTTATCTATTGATGGGTCTGGGCATCACCCAACACGTACTGATGCTTGACAGGATCCTGCTCGGCATGACTTTTGAACTGCAGATCAAGAAAATGCTGCGAATTGTTACCTATGGTTCAGCTCTAGCTCCATATCATTTGTAGTTACGTGACGAGTTGATCATGACGCACGCACAGTGGAAGTCATCTTCGATTATATGAGTGCATGTGCTTGTTGGGGCAACTTCATCCACGAGATTACATGCATATTGGCTAGAAATTTCAGCGGAGTGGGAGGCAAAGCAATAACATCAACCATCATCAATGGAAACAGTAATTTAGCTTATAAGTGATTTGAAAATATGAAACAAGACAATGAAATTGCTATTTGCATGTGTGTTTGTTCCAACTTTCTTGTAAGTTTTTGTGATGTTTTTAAACTGATGGGAGGTCTATCCACTAGCTATAGCTTTGTCTCCATTTGCTAGGATTGATAGGCTACAAATTTTATTAATGGACCAGACAAAATTTTGCCTCCTTGGGCCACACATTTATTCACCGAAATAATAAAATAGCCAAGACATCCTTGTGATGAGGACTTATCAGCCAAAGGGGAATTATTATTGTTTTTCTTCACAGAAACCATAATTGTGCTTCAATTGGAAGTACCACACATTTATTCACCAAAATAATAAAATAGCCAAGACATCCTTGTGATGAGGACTTATCAGCCAAAGGGGAATTATTATAGTTTTTCTTCACAGAAACCATAATTGTGCTTCAATTGGAAGTCCTCAAACCGCAACCCAATTCACACAAACATTTTGGACGGAGAGGAGGGCATCGTACATTTAGCAATCGCTTCAAAGCTAAAGGTAACTAAAAAGTAAATATAGTTTCAACTCAAAAGTAACTAAAAAGTTCAATTTTTTAGCAATGAGCCCGTAACTCAACTCGTTAAGAACAAATCACTTGTGCATCGAAGGTTATGTATTCAATTTCTTTTATTAATAATACTAAAGACGTCAATTTACTACAAATTTTTTATTATTATTAACTGATGTGACAATTTTGTTTAAATAGATAATCAAATTGATATTGTTAATCAGAGATTGACAATATTCAAATCATCAATCAGGATGGCTCCCAATCAATGAGGAGCAGAATCAAACCAGATAAAATCATCACTACAAAAGCAAATTTGGCTAGTGGGTGATGTCTAGTTCTCCATTCTTGGGATAAAATGGCATGAGTCCTCCTCAAGACATCCCAAAAAGTGTTTGGCCTCATGAAAATGACGCCCATATTTACTACCACAGTTAGCGCATCTTATTGTAAAGATTCACCACACATTATGCATTCAATTTCGTCGAGGACTGAAGTAAACTACGCAATAAAATAAAGTTGAAGTGGGCCAAGTCAAGAAACGAATGAAACATCATCACATAAATTGATATATCATAAAAGTTAGTGTATTAAATTGATGTCTATCGTGCTAATCTAAAAGTTAATATGGTTCATCATCCCATGAGAAAGTGATTGTAGAATGAAATGATAGATATATATATGTACTACATCAATTGATTTCATTTATATGGAAACATATTTTAAAATAAAATGTACCTCAACACACTATAAATGTGACATTACAATTTACTCTTCTATATGATATGAGTTCGCTACGAGTCAACAATAACTGCCAGCAGCAACTCTGATATCTAGGAGTAGAAGCGTAGAATGTGTCGGCCCTTGTTCACACTGCTGCATAATTTCCGAAGCGTCGTCGTTCCTCGCTACACTTGCCGCGCCAACATTGGTTGCGCCACTGCCCTCCACGTGCTAAAGTTTAACGGCACACTGTTTACCAAAACAATCAAATGATAAAGAAAGAGGTTTAGCACATAACTTACCAGAAGAAAAAAGTTTAACGGTCCAATTTCCGTGACCAAAACACCCTCCCTCGCTGCTCAATGCACAGCAGACACGTGGAGGAACAGTCAGGGCGGAGTTAACGCCTTAACCGCCGGTGGGCCCCAGACCCCGGCGCACTGCTCGGCACTTATAACACAGCC